GCCAGGATTCAACGCGGGCTCAGGTGGGGCGCGAGATAGATACAGCTTTCGAAAGCCATATCCCAAGGAGAACGGAAAGATCAAAATAACATTAAAATGATATCAAAATAAGATCAAATTTTAATTTGTCAAAATGATTTCAAATTGCATAAATTTTTTATGTTTTATTGTATTCTTTTTTATTGTTTTTATTTGTATTGTTTTATTCGTTTTTATTGTATTCTTGACCATTCCAATTTTATTGCTAAAATAAATTTGTTTTAAATACAATAAATTTTATTAATTAGCACCATATTCTAGTGAATAAAAAAAATATACATAACATAAAAATTGTGATTAAAAAATATATATTTGGAAATTTATTTACGATATTCCTAAAGCGGTCATCCATCCAAGCTATGAATCTTGTGGAACGTGTTTAACCTTGTGTCGTCCGAGAACTGATGCTTCGATGATCCATAAATATGAATTGCTAATAAGAGTATACCAATGGTATATATCTTTTTAATAGATGTCAAAAAGATGGAATATGTGTTAGTTAAGATATTTTTGTTCATAAATATAAAGTTTGCATATAAAATATAAACAAATATGGCGATGAAATTACAATTCTTACTAAGACTTATTTTTGTATACGCGAAATGGCATTTGAAATAAAGGAATTAAAAATAAATATTTGCCATATATACAATCGAGAAACGTTCACATTTTTCTAAAAATCAAAAAGATCGACACTATAAAAAAAAGTCAATATAAAGTCATTCTTTAGTCATTTGAAATCTATAAGATTTTAATTATGATGTAAAAAAATGACGTAAATTCGGTCAATTTGACGTCAAATTGATATTTTTGATATTTAATTGATTATTTTTATTTTTTTGTTCTCCTTGGGATACTGACTGGCGCCGTTATAAATTCTAGGCACGTCGATCTGAGTAAATTTCTCAAGGATGCGCGAGAAATTGTGCTTGAACATGTGCGGAATACTATGCAAAGACATAACAGTATTAAAATAAACACAATTTTTAACAGCGAATTTGAAACGGGTGATAAATGCGCAAATAAAAGTGTTGCTACGAGAAACAGTGAACTCTTTCGTTGCACAGATTTACGCAAGTGGTACGATTCACGCGTTGTTGAGCCTACCTTAGCGTCGCTGAAAGAATTCCAGGAACGTGACAGCGGATGGAAGTTGTTATGTATACACCTTAATTTAACAATTAATATAAACAAGCACAATCCGTTGCTCGCGGGATGCCATATAAAGTTACCGCGAGAAATTGAGTTAAAGAAAGCTGTTGTAAACGTGCGATCCAAGGACAATGCATGTTTCGTGTAGACAGTGGTGGCCGCTTTGCCTGCTAAAAATAATATGAATCGGGAATCCTCCTATCCGCATTATGAGAAGGTATTACATCTCAAAGACATTGAGTTTCCAATAACGTTATTGTCAAATCAAAGAATTTGAAAATCTCAACGCCATCTCGATCAACGTCGCCATCGAGAAGAAGGACGATCAACATACGATTCTTCCAATTCGACTGACAAAACAAAAAATGGAGAAGCATGTTAATTTACTATACGTGGAGGACGAAAACAGCAACGATGGACATTTCACATGGATTAAGAATCTCTTAAGATAAGTCACGCCTCGTGAGCTCACAAGTGAGCAAAAATAAGAATAAGAAGTTTTTTTGTGATAGGTATGTATACATTAAATAAATAAAAATTATAAAATACTTTATTTCTTGAAAAAATAATAAAAATAATACTTATATATTTTATAAATGTTTACATTATTTCGCCTCGAGCGAAAAATTGGGGGCTCACGTAGTAGATTGCAACAAGATGAACAACTGCGCGATTAGGTTACCGAACAATAATGACAAGTGGCTCAGCAACAACAACACAGAAAGAAGCGAAATGCCGTTCGTCGTGTACGCCGATCTTGAGTGCGTCCTGGAGAAGACATACAACGAGGAAACGAGCTACGAATACCAGCATCACTGGGTATTTAGTATAAGTTATTACGTTCATTGTTCATACGATAACTCTTTGACCGCGTATCGATTTCAACGCGATAAGGATTTTGCGTCGCATTGTTCTTCGAGGAACTTAAAAATTTAGGACATAGAGTAAAGTCCGCTCTGTCCGGTAACGTTCCGATGGCGGAATCGACGCGCGACGAATGCGAAAAATTTAACAGCGCTACGAACTGTCACATATGCAAGAAACCGTTCGCGAATAGAAGATACGCGAGTACGTGATCACTGCTATTTAACTGGCCGATTCAGAGGTCCCGCACATTCTAACTGTAATTTAAACTTAAAAGATTCACATTGCATTCCCGCAGTGTTTCATAATTTATTGATCTACGACGCGCATTTCATTATCAAAAAAATAGCTGAAGCGTACGAAGGACACCTGGAACTATTTCCGATAACGAAAGAGAAATACATTTCATTTACCAAGCATGTTAAAAGTACCGAAGAAAGAAAAAATAATCGTAAAACTTGCGTACAATTACAATTCATTGCCTCTTACAAATTTCTCAGTTCGAAAAATTGGCATGTTATCTCGTGAAAGATAAACTACGGATAATGCAACGCGAATTTTGTATTCTACTACCGGAACATTTCGATCTACTGACGCGAAAAGGCATGTTTCCGTACGAGTACATTGACTGCTTCGAAAAGTTGGAGGATACGCATTTACCGCCGCGCGAATCGTTTTATAGTTCGTTGACGGGCGACACTGTATCCGAGAGCGACTACGAGCATGCGGCCAATGTATGGCAGCAGTTCTCAATCCGAACGCTCGATGAGTACGGCGATCTGTACTTAAAAATGGACGTCTTGTTGCTAGCTAATATTTTTGAAATTTTGATATTTTTTTCCACGATAGCTGCATCGCGAGTACGCACTCGATCCCGCGTATTATTTCACGTTACCGGGTTTCATGTGGGACGCCATGCTGAAACATACTCGTATTAAATTCGAACTGCTCACGGATATTGACATGATCATGTTCATCAAACGCGGTATACGTGGTAGCCATAGTCAATGTTCCAGCAGATATGTGCGGGCCAACAACAAATACATGTCTTCGCATGATCCATCGAAACTATCGTCATACTTGATGTATTTCAATGTAAACAATCTGTATGGCTGGGCAATGTGTCAACCATTGCCCTATGCAGATTTTCGATGAGTCAGCGATATAACAAATTTTAATGTTATGGATTAATTATCGCGTTGGATTCCCCGACAGCTTACATTTTTTAGGTCGATCTGGAGTATCCTCAACATCTTCATGATGCGCACGCTGACTTGTTATTCTGTCCGACGCGCGATAAACCACTCGGTAAGAGGCAAGAAAAGCTCCTCGCAATTTTGTATGATAAGAAGCAATACGTTCAGTGACGAAGTCATTCATTATCGCAATTTGCAGCAGTGTACTCGTCACGGCCTCGTATCACAAAAATTTATCGCATATTGCAATTCGCGTAATCTCCATGGCTTCGAGATTTTATTGAATTAAATACACAATTTAAAACACAAGCCAACAACGAAAAGAATTTATACAAATTAATGAATAACGTGGTATTTGGCAAAACCATGGAGAATGTGCGCAATCACGTCGATGTGCGACTATTAACAAAATAGGAAGGCAGATTCAAGGCGCAGGCAATGATCGCGAAACCAAATTTCCACAGTCGTAGCGTCTTTTCCGAGAATCTGATCGCGATAGAAATGTATAAACTCGAGATGAAGTTCAACAAACCGATTTACGTGAGTATGTCCTCGACGTATCCAAGACATGTTTGTATGAATTTCACCACGAGTATATGTTAACTTCGTTTTGCGAAAAATGTAAAGTCATGTATAGAGACAGTCTTATATACCATCTCGAATGCGACGACATACATATATGAAATTATGAAGCGTGACATCAATAGATTTGATACTAGCGATTATGCGGTCGATAATGTGTACAGCATTCCGCTCGCCAATAAAAAGGTTCTAGAATTAATGAAGGATGAAAACAATGGCGCGATCATGACCGAATTCGTCGGACTTAGAGCAAAGATATATGCTTTGCGTGTAGATGGTAAAAAAAATGCAAAAAAGGTTAAACGTGTTAAGAGCTACGTCGTAGTAAAAACGATAACATTCGATGATTACGTGCGATGTCTGCTGAACGAAATCGAAATGACGTGAAAACAGTCTTGCATATGATTCAAACTGCACAAGGTGTATACGATATCCAAAAAGAAGATCGCTCTAAGTCCGTACGATGATAAGCGATACATTATACCCGATTCTGTCGATTCTACACTACCATGGAGACATTATAAGATACCTTTATAAATAAATAAATAAAAACAACTCATTTGCACAATACATATATATATTTTGTGTAATTGTGTGTAATTATTTTGTAACCAAATAATTTTTTATTGTAATAAAAAATATGTTTTTTTATATTGTAATAAACAGGAATATAAATTATTTTACAAAACATTATCCTTGTGTATCCAAGAATGATGTGAATTGTCACATCCCAGCCATTTTACATATAGTATCATCCCCCCTTTTAGGCAACCAGATACACGTTGAGATTAACAACACGATGCAACTCGTACTCGTAAAATCCTCCAAGAACCGGTTTTCCACAATAATACTTTAATAGATACGTCACAGGATTAGTTTTCTGTACCTTGATGATTTTAAACATCTCCGTGGTCCAATTTGGTGTATAATCTTTCTCAAAGTTTGTTTTGAATTTACTCACGCGTACCGACTCACCCACTTTAAATCGCGCGGGCGCCGCGTAATTGTTGTACACCGTGGTTAAGAGCTTGTCGGCGATCGTGGGGGTAACATCGATAGGTCGCATACCAATAGTTCGATGCTTTTGCGCGTTGTATTCTGTCACGAGACGTAGTAGCAAGTCGATCCATTTATAATTTCCGTTGAGCGTAAACTGCTTCCACATCTTCATATATGGTTCTTCAATATACGGTTAAATCGTTCGACCACCGACGCCTTCATTATGGAATACGTAGAGTAATTATTGATATCATGTTTTTGTAAGAGTTTTTGCACGTTTACGTTGTAAAATTCTTTTCCCATCTCAGTTTGCAAATTTTTCGGACATCTTCCGTTGTCTCGGATTATCTTTGCGATTGCTTCAGCCATCTCACTTCCACTCTTGGTTTTGAGCGGTACGGCCCATGCATACTTGCTGAACACATCAATAAGGGTGAGAATGTAGTAGTACATAATGAAGTAGTAGTAACCTTTGTTGAACCGCGTGTAAGGTCGCATCTCGACCACATTTGCCTGCCACAGGTCATCGTATCCATAAACTATGACACGTCTTTGAGAAAAACTTTTTCTCGCCGGAGCGTGCAGTTCCTCCACCAGCTGCTGCTTCTCAACATTTTTCTTCTCAGGCATGTTCGGTCGCGGTACACGACGTGCAAATGACACAGAGATCCGATGTACAGTCTTATTTACTTTTTTTATTCTCCACGGCACACATGAAATCTTTCGCTTCATCAACTACCTTTTTAAGCTTATGTACAGTTATTTGAAGCATGTCTAACTTTTCGATTTCATCTTGTCGATTTTTCAACATTTGCAATTTTTGTTTATTGACTGAGTCACCGTTGTTTACAGACAGCGCTGTAAACAACGGTGATGCAGTCACGTCAACTTCTTTTCAATTTCATTCTTTCTGTCGATCTTTCAAAATTTGCACGCTCTATTGCACGTGTTGTTTGTTGACGACGTCATCGTCATCTACAGGTAGAATCTACGCGTCGAATCTTGTGCGATTTTGTGTCAAAGTCGGTCGCAACCATGCAACGAGCATTATCGCGCAATTTCTAAATGATCCGCCCTATTGGTGTGGTTCCGTTCTACTTTTTCCGAGCGACGTTCCAAACTTATTGATCGGCATTTCAACATTGACTAAATAATTCGTATTGTGCGTAGTTTAATTTATTATAAAGCCAGCTTCGTGATTCCTCGATTATCGATAGAATCTTGTTATTATGAGCGTTGTTGCCCGCTCGATGAGAAGCGTCAAGCAATCGAAGACGATCCACCAGCTCGTTGGGATCGTCCCAATGAACGTAATCGATCTTGTTGTCAGTCAATCTCATGGTGGATGGTACATTGTCCACGCCTGCTCCCACTTTTTTAACACTAGTTAGATAACCAAATATGAGCAGAGGGATAAATTTCGTGTACTTCGTTCCCTTGTTGCCCTTGATGCGGTCAATAGCGTTATGGTTCCGTTTGAGAGCATTTAGTGCCTAGAATATATTTTTATACGACAACAAGTCGTGATCGGCGATAATTGTTTCATTAGGAAGTGTCTTGAAGATCAATTCGAACAATCCTTGCGTGTCACGGTACCTCACGTCATCCTTCTCAAGGTCGTTTATCAAACCTCCATCGTCGTTGAAATAGACACCGTACGTGTAATCGATCTCCTTCTTTCTACCAAAGAACAGGTCTATGTAGATTTGTCCGAGTGGTCCCAGCTTACTGTGCATCGCATCGCAACTCCGTCGCGATTGCATATTTTCTCTGTCGAACGTTTCGATCGACGGTTTGGCTATCCATGTAAAGATCACTTCCTTCCACAGTATTACTGTCAGTTGTTTTCTTGGCGCTTCTATCGATGCAGCACCGAGCGCAGGCGAATCCACCGACGGTTCTATTCGCTGATACAGAATCGCGCGTAGGTAACGCGACGTTCCATTCTTTTCTTGGCTGTTTAAACATGACTCTGATCAATGTATCATCCTCATAATTACTATCTTCACGTTTCTTTTTAATACCGATACTTGTCGCAACGTCAGCCTCTCTCTTGATCGATTCTTCGTCAACGGTTTTTTTGGCAATCTTTTTCAGAGGTTTGATGTCGGGCTTAAAATGTCTCTCCAATGCTATTTTTCTTCATTTTACCGGTTTTCAAAGCACGATTTTCTTCCGAATTGAATCGCTCGTTCTTGCGATCTCCTTCGCGATCCTCTCACGATTCTTGCGGCTATCCATGTTGAGGGAAAGTTGCATAGTTAACGTATCGACTGCAACTAACCACGTTATGGTATCACAAAATCGTTAAATTCTTTTCTGTATCGCCTATCTGTAAGAGCACAGTCCTTGTCTATCACTAGGAATCCATCCTTTTGCCGCCAACAAGTACGACATAATGCGCAGAAGTCGTCGTACGACGTGTCGGTGTTTATGTGATCGTTGTATACTTGTTTCAGATTGATTCGATTTTGTTTGAACAGGATCAGCAAATTTGCGTTGTAACGTATAAGATTCTTTGGTATTTTTGCATACGTCTGATAGAGATAGAAGCAGTCGACGTGCGTGTCGGCCCATTGCAAAGTATTCTCTTATGGCGTCTTGCTTGTCGTATGCCACGTCATCAAAGACAAAAATGGAGTTTGGAAGCGCCTTGTTTGGTAGAACGACGTCGCTGTTATTGGAGAATGTAAAATAACCAATTTCTTCTATCGATGCTAGTAAATTCTCCAAGTATTGATATTTCGGTTGTTGCAGTGATTTTGAGTATACGTACACATTCTCGAAACGTACATCGTGTGGACTTTCCAGCAAGTTTATCAATACGTTTGTCTTGCCGCAATTTGACGGACCACATATCCCTGGTAAAAAAAAACGATAGAAAACGATTAAAAAAATCGTATCGTTTTGAATCAGTTTTCTTAATCCGGATTTCCCAATTGGATATAGGGTACTGACGATAGACGGTATATTGATTATAATCTGCATTAATAGATACGTTTTCAATGAGGTTGTATGTGAAATATCGCATATAAAAGTTACTGAAAAAAAAAATTTATTTTTTTT